TTTTCCTAAATATGTATAGTAAAATCTAAATACATGTATAACTACTGGCTATCCAGCCGCGTACCGTATTCTTGTTTGGGTGTGGTCACACCATGCCCATCTGGTGTGACGGACACCCCTTTTCCCAGGGTATGTGTAACCCCGTTACAAGGAGTACAATTGTAAGAAATTAACATCTCATTTGGTATAAATTTTATACGTATCGGAAATATCGGTATTTATGACGATGATGGGGTCAGTAAGTCGGATACTTAAGATTGTAAACATTTCTATAAAGCATTAGCCTGACACAAATTTTTCTAAATGTATACTGCTGATGCTCAGTCTCAAAATATATTTGAAATAGACACTTTCAAACTCAAGAAAACGCCTGCTGCAATTGTGCTACATTTAAAAGCTCAATTTGAGAAAGCACAACTTACTACTATACTCGGTTCCAGCTTATTTTGATCACAAATTGGCTGTCTGGTGTCTTCTTTAACTTTGATTTGATAGCGGATATGGACATATGTGACGAATCAACAACATGATTCAGGGTATGCGAATCTAGTCTGTCGCGCTCAAAACCAATACAGTTGTCTTACAAGTATTCGGCAAGCATCGGTTAATCGGAGTCTTACGACGAGGTACATTCGACAAATTGAGATAAGAGTGCTTCATGTAGTCGATGAATAGTTTTCTCACCAACAGCTTCCGATACTCGTACGCTTTGATGTCGAATTGAGAGTGAGGTGGTCGAGAAACAAGTGAATCAGTGAATATAATACCGATTAACTTCGTCAAATTGAACATAGTTTTGAAGAGGTATATCGATTGATCGGTCTTCGAGGATACAGATCGCTCGTGCCTGCTTAGTGTTTCGGACAAGTCAATTGCATTGCTTTGGGCCAAGATTTTCTTGATCTAGACTCGTACAAAATTGATGCCCACACGATAGAGTCGTAGTAAAAGTACAACTTTGTGATACAATTTACAAGTCCAGCTTAGCATCAAGGTGGAATTGGTGGCTTCAGCTTAATCTTTGTAAGCAAAATTCAACACAGTCTTTTGATGAAGCATCAATGGAACATCTATCGCTTCTTTGTTAACATGGTGATTCTGCTCAAATATTCGTATGATAGAGATAAAGACCTACATTTGGCCTGCATCGATTGTAAGCAGGATTACAAAAAACACGAAGACAACGGATAAAATTTCATCGCTTCATCGAGTTAGTCTGGTGTAAAAGTAATTCCACCATCTTTCTGACGTTTTCCACACAAACACCCAAACAATTTGACGCACGGCAGATCGTAAAAGTACTTCTCCTCTGGATCGCTTAGCACTCGATATGCCTCCTTGAGCTTCTCATACTTGTAAGGTTCAGTTTCATTATTAAAGCGTTTCACCAATGTGTTATAAGCTGCGTCAATCTGCTCGCGACTTGCAGTCTTGACCAATCCCAACTTTGCATACATGTCTTTGCCTTTCCACATTCGGACCTCGTAAAACTCTAGCTGCTGTCGCAATGCTTCGAGTATACGAGCCTCACACGCAGCCCAGTCGTACATGTGCCGTTCGCAAAACTTTTTTGCCAAGATCTCTACGTAGTGTACACAGCGTTGACCGCCAAGGGGCTCCACTTCGCAGATCCAGTCCGACTCAGGACGCACATACTCCAACGTATGTGACAATCCGGCATACGTCGCTTGAACCGAAAAAAGTGTGCGTCTTGGCTGCATTCGCTTACAGATGACTCGTGTACTGTTGCAGACAATTTCAATCAATGTCGTATTTAGCGGTGCTGTCTGAAATAGATCGTGTTTTTCCAAAAACGCGTAGACGACGTCAACAGGTTCTTGGCCCTCTAAAATTTGCACATCTCCTAACTTTGTGGTAGCAGACTCCCAAACAGGTATATTCAAGAGCATTGGTTCAGCGCGGGTGCAATTCGGTCGTTTTCGAGGTTCATTGCACACGTCAATGAGGAATTTTTGACGTTCACGTAGCGTAAGGTTACGCATCAGCCCATACTCGTAAATGACGTCAGTAGAGTCTTGGCCGTCGTAAAATGGCAACCGCTCTCGACGACCATCCGAGAATGTAAATAAAGCTTCATATAAAATCCCAACATCTCGAGTGCATTCCAGTCCACTAACCTGGCATACACCTGTTACGATGCTTGTTTTTTCTTCCGGTCCCAAATTATGTTTGTTTCCAAACCTGGCGACCGCATCTGCAGGCTCTTCGTTAGCAAGTACATCTAGAATTCCAAGTTGTGATCCGTTCTGAGAGGCAACAGGTACCTGAAACACAATTGGTGCATAGCGTAAGCAGGTTAGTGGCTCCTTCTCAAATTCATCGCCTTCTTCTTTATTGGATGTTGATTGTGATGGATTGCACAATTTGTTTAGCAGTACATCGCGATCTCTGGGTGCGAGATTGTGTTGATCAGCAAACTGGTAAATAACGTCTGCAGGCTCTTGACCTTCAAAAATATTGACGTAGCCGAGTATCTCTCCGCTACTATTACTGACTGGAGTAGACCAAAGTAGAGCTTGACCCCGAGTACACAAAATCTCTTCCCTAGTTTCACATAGCGCTTGAAACAGTGAATTTTGTAAGCCACGTGCAATATTGGTTTGTCTAGTGAATCTGTGCACCGCGTCGACGAGTTCTTCATCCTCTTGAATCGATAAAACTCCCACAGTGGTTCCATTATCAATTTCGATGGGAGAACTGAATACGATCGGTCGAAGACGTCTACAAGTCACATAATGATCGTCACAAACCTGGCTCAGTAAATTTTCACGAAGTGATCGTGCCAGTTTATGTCGTAGTCCAAAATTGTAAACGAAATCTACCGGCTCCTGTCCAAATGGAATTTGCAAGATATCAACCCGACCAGGTTCGCTGGAATCAACGTTGCTTAGGTCGACAAATTGCGAATAAACGAACGGTATTTTACGCATGCATTGAATGTCACCAATTTCCGAGCAAACAACATCAAGCAATTGCTTTATCGCAGTTTCCGGTAACTTGTGGTCCCTAACGAACCTATAAACTTGATCTACTGGTTCCTCGTCGTCGTAAATATAAAGTTTTCCAATCGGAGCCCCCCCCTCTCCGGCGACAGTCTTTTGGTGCATCATTGCTTTGTATCTGGTGCACACAACGCGAGGCTTGGTACACACTGCCTTTAGTATAATCATTCGTTCCTCTCGTCCAATGCTATGCTTTAAAGTGAAACGTAGCACTGTGTCCGCTGGCTCAACCCCTTCAAGTATCTTTAAATCTCCGTAAAGGCTACCATTCGGTGCCGTAATTTGCATTGAGTAAATCACTGGAACTTCGCGACGACAAACCACTTGAGGTTGCTGGCAAATTTGCACAAGCATCTTAAGTCTCCATTTGACTGTCTGGCCATGACGTACTCGAAAAGCCTCCAACGTGTCTACTGGTTCCTGTCCAGATAGTAATAAGAAGTGACGGTGCTCTGGTGGTTGCTCTAATGGTAGCCGCAACTCAAGTAAAACTTCCAAGGCTATGCAAGACTTCAGGCATAGCAGGAGGTAAATCAGCCAAGACGTAGCAAGCATTGTACCAGGGCGATATTACGGAATTGAGTCGTGACTTTTCATACGGACACAATCTTCATTTCATATTTGTGTTCACCAATCAATTGATTTTTTGT